GCTCTGCTGGGTCCAGCCCAGGGAGAGCAGGAAATGGATGATGAGAGCGGAGAAGCTGAGGCTGAGCCTTCTCAATCCTCCTGCCCTGCGTATGATGAGCTCTTAGAGGTTATGGGTCGCGCCACGGCAAGACTTGACTTGCCATGGATGCGGACTAAGGAAGTGGCGTCGCGAGGTCGTCTCGACGAACGTTATCTTTCTGGCCATAACCCTCCAGCTCAGGTGAGTCTTCCTTTCCTTCCTGATCTCCATACTGAGATCGAGAAGGAATGGAAGAAGCCGTTTTCCTCACGCATCCATCGGTTTCAGCATACCAGTTATGCGAATATCGAGGCGGTGCGCGAAAACGGCTATGAGAGAATGCCCCCTGTAGAAGAGACGCTAGCTAGCTATCTCTCTATGGGAGAGACATCATCTCTCAAAACTCCCTCCTTGCCATCCATGCCTCTTCAAGCTACATCTAAAATGAATGGCAAGGCATACGCAGCAGCAGGTTAGGCTGTTGCTTCACTGCACACGATGGCGGTGCTTCAAGCATACCAGGCTGATCTGCTGAAAGACCTGGATAAAGGCGAGGGCCTTTCTTCTGATGAGATGGCTGAGTTACGCCGCACCACGGATCTTGCTCTTCGTGCTACTAAGCAGGCTGCCTCTGCCATGGGCAGATCTATGGCAGCGATGGTAGTAACGGAGAGGCAGCTGTGGGTAAACCTGGCAGACATCGGGAAGAAAGAAAGGGGTTTTCTTCTCGATGCCCCGGTTTCGCCCTCTGAACTTTTTGGTACATCCGTTGAGGCGGTCGTCGAAAAGTTCAGGGAGGCGAAGGCGCGCTCAGCGGCCTTCAAAACCTTCATTCCGCGAAGGTCCAGGTCTGAGCCCGAACAACCCAGGGGTCCTGGTCCGTCTCGATTTGAGGATCAGAGACGAGCACAGAAGGCTAGTGTCGCGACTCGCGCTCCTCCTCCGCCTGCGGGTAGGGGTAGGAAGTATCGTGGGTCGAAGGGAGGTAGGCAGGACCTGAGGGATGTGATCCAGACAAGGCGTCATCGCTTTCGTCCGGATCAGAGTAATACTTAGGTATCCACTCTTTTCCTCAGGGGGTGTAACATCTACCCCTTTCTTCCCCTTCCTAATTCCCCTGTAACCACCATATCGCCACCTGACCGAGGTCAGGTGGAAGCTTCCTGCATAACAGTCTCCTTCTGGACCTATGATGTTTTGGTTGGTTCTATGGTTATCATAGTAACCACCTTACTGAAGGTCCGGTCTAGAGGCTTTTCCGGACAGAGCTCCAACGCGGGAGCCGTGGTGGGTGAGTACGATCCATGTCTAAATATATGTATATAAATATATGTATGTGCTATGGAATTGGTGGTTGTGTGTACCCTTCTGCTAGTTTCTTTGCAGTGTTTCCCGTGCTGGGTTCAGAAACCGGGTGCTCGACTTGCAGTGTTTATTTCACTCGTCGAGATATGTCCAGAAGGTAAGTAAGGTTTCTGTTTCATACTTCCTGGATCATGCGGCTATAACACAGGCTTCTGCGGGAGTTTTGTGATTATCAGGCCCCCGGTGTCACTGCAGAAAATTTCCTGGACGTCCGGGCTGGGGTTTACGCTTTCATGCTACCCTGACTGGTCTACCGTATCCGGGTCGCCCTGAGGGGTTTTTCCCGATCACCAGGATATCCCCTTGAGGCATCACCCCCCCTCACCATTGAGGGTTATTGTGAGTATGATGTTTCTTTCGAGCGTTAATCCTCTCTGAGGAGTTAGATTCCTCGCTCCATGGGCTGTCCTCGTGGTAGTATTGAGACAATGCTCCCCTTTTATCAAAGGGTTACCTGGAATGAGAGTTTGGCTAGACTGCAGTGTGCTTACCCCTCTGATTTTTCAATCATGCTGCAGGTCGAGCCCCCCCCGCTCGTTGAGAGCTTGGTTTGTGCTCTCTCAGCCAAGGTAAACTACTGCTAGCGTTCCTGCATTGGAACATGCTGTAGGCCGAGCCCCCTTCTCGACTGAGAACTAGGTGTGTTGCCCCCACAGCTAAGTAAACTATTGCTAGCTGTTCCAGTTTGGAACATGCTGCAGGTCGAGCCCCGTCTCGGTTTGAGAACTGAGTGTGTTGCTCCCTCAGCTGAATAACTGCTAGCTGTTCCACCATGGGAACATGCTGTAGGTTGAGCTCCCTCTCCATTGAGAGCTGGATGTTCTCCCCCAGCTACAGATTTACTGCTAGCCACTCCAGCATTATAGCCGTAGATATAGCGTCTGGGGATACGCTATTTTTATCTATAGGCTGCCTTTTCAGGGTGCCACGAGAACCCCTAGAACGGTATTAATAACGGACGGGAATAACGTCACTGACAGCCGTCTAAACGTCCCAGGGGCAACTCCCATAGCAATATGGTAGAGTTGGTATTTAGTGCTCGCCATGGTTCTGGCTTGCATTCCCCTCAGCATGGTGGCGTGGGTATACCGTTCCCCCTAGCGACCCCTAGAGGACGCAGTTCGAAGTTCCCATGAAAGGGAACGTCTCGGGTTACTTATGTAACCATGGTTCCCTGAGTAGGGAACGAGACACTGCGTCCTCTAGGTTTCTTGCCATGCTGCGGACGCAAGCTTCAGACGAAGAAGTGAACGATTTGTAGCTCCCGGCACCGATTTATACTGTAGTCGCACCGGTAGTGACGTCATGGCTGTCGCCGGCCAACGAGTTGGTGTTTTTTCAATGTATGCTTCAGATACGAGTCACGACGAGGCGTTCCCCATAGCGACCCCTAGAGGACGCAGTTCGAAGTTCCCATGAAAGGGAACCAACATAGGTTCAGTGAGAAAAACCATGTCTCTACCTCTAAATTTTTGCTCCAAAAACATAATTATGATACAATTTACTGCAGTTTCTAGCTGAAATGAACACTAGAGGTAGTAAAACAACAATTTTAATTCCTTTTTACATAAATTATGATTATAGGGGCAGATTATAGACTAATAAAGGTTTATTTTTGAACGGTTATTTGCACAAAATGTCATTATTCCAATACCATAGTGCATGATTTGTTAATAAATGCATATGATGTTTGCATCACACAACCAGTTCCATACGTAAAACTTTTCTGACATAGTAAACTTCTCGGTTGCTCACCTGGTGCAGCCTAGCACTTGTGACACAGAGTGCTCGGGTACAAGTCCCATAAAACACTAGTCATGATAAAAGAGCTGAAAGACTTGTAGAAACAAGCTAAAATAACACGGTTGCATCAGCAAACCTGCATGTTATACACTATCTGTTAGGTTTGGGCTATAGCGTTTAGTGACGTGGTAGGCTACATTATTTTCAAACACAACAGAGCATTGACCTTTTATAGTAAATCACCAGATATTCCAAATTGCCCCTACACTCTTAAAAATAAAGGTGCTTCATGATGCCAGAGAAGAACCTTTTTGTCTAAATGGTTCCATAAAGAACCTTTAACATCTGAAGAAATGTTTCTGTTTCAACAAAAGGTTCTTTGTGGTGAAAGAAGGTTCTTCAGATTATAAAAAGGTAAGAAAGAGATGGTTCTTTAAAGAACCTTTGACTGAATGTTTTTGTGGAACCAAAAATGGTTCTTCTATGGCATCGCTGTAAAGAACCTTTTAAGCACCTTTATTTTTAAAAGTGCATATGTAACAACCAATGATTACTACTCACTGGACATTTCAATTTGAAAGTATTGCAACATGTTCAAGAAACAGCGTAATATATATTTTTTTTCAATGATGGTTGTAAGAAACTAAAGTTAGGCCTTGCTTGCTTTCCTCAGTGATTAGCTGGTACACCATTAAAGTCGGCATGAAATGGAAATTGTGTTCGTCTTTGTGATGCATATATATATCTTAGAAAATGGCTTCTTAAATGAGAAAATAAATGTAAGGTGGGACTTGATTTTGTCCATCGGGAATTGATTTGGTCATTGTAGTTTGCTAATTGCTGCAATCTCATATGAGTGACAGGTTGCTTGAGGGAAGGAATTATTGTCCCACACTCACACCAGTGCATGCCTTATAAGAGACGACATTTTGTTTTGAGGGGGAAGATAAGTTAATGTTTTTGATTAGAGATTGTCTTGGGCACAAGAATTAATATAATAATAATAATAATAATAATACTACGAATACATAATATATAATACAAATATGAAAAATAAATTTTGAATTCATGGTGACTTTAAAACATGATAGTTAATACTATTAACTATTTAAATGTACGGTGGCCTAGAGAGCTCAGTGCACTGCAACTTAAAAACATGCAAAAAGAAAAAACATCAGCAAATTTAGAAAACATCTTCATCAGTTTCACAACACGTGCTGCAAATACTCACAATGCAACCAAATACAGAAACACACTGCAAAGACTCAAAACGCAACCAAAAGAAAAGCATTGCATGTTGCACAAACCACAAGGGAATTTTTCAAGGGGGCCCCAACAAGTTGTGAAAGTAAGTTAGCTAGCTTTGAAAGGGGTGCTAAATTACAATATACATTGCACAAGGCGAACCTTGGCAGATTCTATGCCTAAAATTACCTTTAGATTTAGCATTTAATCATTTTGCATGTGTTAGTATGTAAGGGGGCCACACTTGCTTTGGCAATATTATATGTTAAACAACCTTGCCAATAAAATACTTTGAAGTAGGCCTATACTCTTTTGAAATGTTAACATTTTAAATATGTTTCTACATTTTGAACTCCCTGGACAGACAAAAAATGAATAGAAATAATGATTCTGTCTAAAGAAATACAAAGGAAAATATGTAAATGTCAGGGGGAGAAGGGGAGAAATGGTGCAATTTCCATTTTTGTGGAGTGTAATGGGGAAAAAATGGTTAAAGTTAACTAGTAGAATAAGTAAATAAGTAAAGTAGCCTAATAATACTACTTTTGAGAAGTAATGATGAGTAACGAGTAGGCTAAATATATTCGACTCCTCTGTAAGGCATTATGCACAATGCGTTGTTAAACAATCTTGTTCTTTAAAATAGATTAAGATCATTTTGAAATTTTAAATGAAAATAGTTTGTCTATAATTTCGTGTCAATATAAATAGTTAGAATTCCCTCGTCAGATTTTTAGTCAGCTGGCGTTGCTATTACAGGTTGTCAACACTAGGCTAATGGCCACACCTTTCTGTGATTCTTCCTGTGGCCCGCTCATCGGCTTTAAATCATCCGCCTTACACACACACAGTACTGATCCCATACATCCCCGCTCACACACAAATAGTTTAACAGCGTTTGCGCTGCGCGAAATACCGAGAGAAGCGCATTTATTCCGCCCGCAGATAACGGCATAAATCTAGCTGTAGGTAACGGTGCGCGATTCGAAAGCTCGCTGGTGCGCGCGCTCTCTCTCTCCCGCTCCGCTCCTGACGTCAGCGAGATTGTCTTTGAGAGCGTCGAGCCCAGCAGCAGCGCTCTCTCTCCACACTAACCCTCCATTGTGCACACGCTAACGATGCCAGCGCTCGCAGCCGCCGCCCAGTAGAGACCTCCCAGCCCGAGGACCGAGCACCGAGCACCACGACCCCGCTACACAGTCCGAGAGCGCGCGCCAGAGACTTATGTTCTAGCCCAACGTTGTCTTTTGCTGGATTTAATGCTCTAGCTAGCCGACGACAGGGAGAGAGAGAGAGAGCGAGAGAGAGAGAGAGTGTGTGTGTGTGTGTGTGTGAGAGAGAGAGAGAGGGATAGGGACAGCCTTAGAGAGGGATAAGGAAGAAACACCGAGGATATTTCTCACCCGGACCATTTTGGAGATAAAAAAAGAGCCGAGATTCATCTAGCCATGGGATGTACACTGAGCGCAGAGGAAAGAGCGGCTCTGGACAGGAGCAAAGCCATCGAGAAAAACCTCAAAGAAGACGGAGTCACTGCTGCTAAAGATGTGAAATTGCTCCTGCTAGGTAATGCGGAGTGGAGCCCGTCAAATCTAACGTCAGCTGTATCCTACACATCTCAGCCGATGAATGCACATAGCCTATATGGGATCTCTTCATTTTGACAGGCGATCTTACTCCTTTGTGTCTGTGTCTTCTTCACAGGGGCTGGGGAATCTGGGAAAAGTACCATCGTGAAACAGATGAAGTAAGTGGCATGTTTTAAATGACATCCATCAGTCAGGCAGTCAGTCAGTGTGCGCTTTGTGAGACACACACACACACACACCCTCGATGGCGAATTCTTAGGTCCGCCATATTTTCAAGGAGCTCTCTCTCCACTAGCGTGTTACATACACTGTAGCTGTCCGTGGCGTGATGATACGGTGTGGCAGATCCGCAGTATGTGTATTGTGGGTTCGGGCAGACGAGGCGCCGTCGATGTGCTGTTCACGAAAATCGTGCTGAAAGTCAGCTGGGGGACCGTGTTTCTTTTAGTCTAATGCTCCACTGGCGTCCACTGACAGTGTAGCCTACTTCACACCCGGCTGAGTAACATTAACACACTCCACCCCGATTTCACCTCATCCTGTGGGCATTTACGGATGTCTCTGATGTCTTCCTGTGCGTTTGCTTCTATGACAGACGTCAGAAATCAATCATATATATATATATACGCGTAAAGAGATATAGCTGTATGCTACTGTGCCCTTCTGGCAGAGAATGAAATGGCTGTTCCTTAGATTTTAGCGTCCTTTTATAGATTATGTAATTTCACCTGAATTATATGAAGTATAGACCGATAACTGACTTGACCCATATATATATATATATATTTCTTTTTCTTTTTTACCTATATCCACACTTTTCTGCTCGACTGGTTATCGGTTCTTCAGTATTTGGGTCCATTGATAAATGGCGTCCCCTTAATGGTACTCATTTTTAATGTACTGTTTTCAAGCTGTTACATAGCAACCATTCATTTTCAATGGGAAAAAGGCGTTTTAAACACTGGCTCCAAAATAAAATGTCTCCCATTTAGATTCACATAAATATAGTTACATGATGAATAATAATATAATCAATCTAAACACAATGCACGTTGTTTTATTTTTATTGCACCAAATATCACAAATAAATCCATTAAAATGATTCTGCATATTTTATTTTTCACTTGTAAAAGTCATTTATTAATTGGTAAAAATGATAAAAACCCACTATCACTCGCTCTCTACTATATGCAGTTAATACTGTTTTAAGAGCCTTCTGTTGACTGAGAATGGTGAAGGCAGAGCTTATATGGCAAATGGTACCTGGAGATAATGCTGCTGTCGGCTGTGTGCATGGCGTTGGTGCAACATGAACAGGCCTTCATGCGTTTGTTGGGTTGATGCTCATGGTGAAGGAAGAAGGTTTGACACCCAACCAGCTCCACTTTCTCATGGCCATTTTTATGCACTGACGTTCTCTTTACGCCTCACTGAAAACGATCTGTTCATCTACCTTGCGGTTTGGATGTCATATTCTTAGTTGATTGACTTATAAATGCAGCTCCTCCGGTTATTTCCTCCTTTGACTCGCTTTGACTTGATTTTATACGGTCACCATCTCTGGACATGGTGTGTGTTATACAATACGTATGGGCTAATTATGTAGGCTATATGATATTTATTTGTCGAGCTGTACCAAGCGCAGGTTATTGCTCAATGCAAATCATTCGATGAAGAGAAACGCCTCCATTCTCAAGTGTGTGCACAAGCTGCCTTTGTCGAATCGAAATCTGTAGCCCTCAGAAAATGTCATTTTATCTGGTCTGGCTATGTTATTATATTGCGATCCTAAGCCATTATAATGGGAAAACGCATGTAATTAGCACGCATATATTTTGAAATAGTGCATCGGAAGATTTCAGGCGGTTTCAGTGGTGGACAGCGCCCAGCAGAGTATTTTTCTGTGATCGGCTTTCTTCGGCCATTTTCGGTTTTCTCCGTCCTTAAGAGTGTTGAACCTGCGGCGAGAGGGAAAACAGGGAATGGATTTGTACGTTGTTTGCGCTGCCCACACGTGTTCAGAGAGAGGTGCGGTCTATTTTATTTTACCAAACACCTTCGTACGTTGATTCTTTTGTATTACATTTGCGTATGAATGTTTTATGTCCTAAATACAATGCTTAGCTTGAGACAATAGCAAAATTAGCAAAAGCAGCTGACTAGCAGAGCCAGAAATTAATCGGGGCAAAAACGCAAATAAATTGCTAAGATATTTAAAATGTGTCAACAGAAAATGTACCTATTCCTCATATTTAACATTTTATATTTCAGTATTCTGTAGCATGGTTGTGATATCTTGGACATACATATAGCTAGGCTACAGCAAATTTTAAATTTGATGTGTACCAGGTAACATTGACATTCTCATTGATAATTTGAGCAATTAACAGCTTAAACCTCATTTTTTATTTTATGCTCATTAAACAGAAAGGGAGAAAATCGACTCAAGGGTGTATATTGCCTCTAAATATAAAAAGTTAATAATTTCTGACAATGCTTACAGAATGAGTTCAGGTTGAGGATAAGGAGAAACCAAAATTATATAATTTTTTTTTCAGTTTCAAATTGCTTGGTCAGCTTAACAAATGAATGACAGTATTTACCACTGCTTTTAAGCCATTGTAGCTAATGCCTCAGGCATATTTCTAAGTCATCCAAAGAGTGATGACTCTTTCCTCTCTAAGGATTCATTGTTGCTCTGATGTGCTTAATTGGGTAATAAGAGTGTCTCATGATGGAGCTGGTTAAACTGTTTGGGTCCTAAAGGAGTGGAGTATGTAACTCTGGGCTTCTTACTGTAATACGCCATGAATGAGTTGCTTTTTCAGGACTTTTGTTGAGCTTAATTAGACTGTTAAATGTTTCACCACCATCACTTACTTAAAATGCTTTTTAGGATATTGCAGCTTCAGTATAATGCATTGCATTTAATGTAGATTTAATGCGTTCAGTAAAAAGGAGTTTTAAAATCTGTTTATTATGTCTTCCAGCTTCCCCAGAGACAGCATTTAATATAAGCATATAAGCCTTTGTCGTGACTTTCTCCATGAAATGTTATGCATATATGTGATAATGGCAGCGCTATAATGAATCTAGATCTGTGGTTTTTGCCAGACCTTTTTGATATAGTGAGAATAACATAACAGAACACCAACATTCATATCGCAACAAGCTAATCGGACACTTCAAATACCTCCACTGTGTGTTAGATGATTTCTAGCCTTTAGTTAAACAGTATTCTGTATTGCTTGAAAAGGGCAGATGAAACCAGGTGTACACTTAACATGTCAGAGTAAACCAGGGAACTGGGTGATGTGTGAAAGATGGTGAGAGAGAGAGAGAGAGAGGGCGCAGCGTGAGGAGGGGAGATGTTGGTAAACCTGGGTTATTATGGTGTAGTTCTCTAGGCAGGCAACAGTGCTTCCATCTGCTTCATTAGTTCAGTGTGAGAGGGAAGTGTTTAAGTGTACACAGGCTGCTCTCAATAGATGATCACATCACGCATACACAGCTCTCTCTCTTTCTCTCTGTTCCTGCGCTCATCTTCCTGGCACCTAGTCCTATGGGAATGAAATATAAGCAATTGAAGGTGTATTTTGTGTGTTGGGGGGAGAGAAAGGGAGAAAAAATGTGAGTATATGGTGATGAGAACGGTTTCATAGACTCTGGAGACAGAGCCATGTGTGTCATCATCCTGCATGCCACTTCCTCACCCACGCGTGTCATTCATGGATGATCAAAAGCAGCCTTCAGAAAACAGAAAAAATGTATACAAAAAGTTATAAGGCATGATTTGCGCACTGAATAGGGTTGGGTATCGTTTTTTTTTGTTCCGTTACCGGTGCCAAATCGATACTTGTAAAACGGTTCCGGTGCCTGAACCGATACTTATGTATATGTGTATATGTATATGTATATATATATGTATATATAAATAAATATATATATATATATATATATATAAATATAAATAAATAAAAATCCCCCCAAAAATGATGGATTAGCCATTAGAATAGAATAGAGAGTGCAAATGTTAGAGGGTCAAGTTTTTTAATAAAAAAAAAAACAAGCAGATAAAATTAGAAGTAGCATTAGAATAGAGTGCTAGAGTTAGAAGGTCAAATGAAGATGAAAGAGATGTGTATTCAAATAACATCCTGAGAGCGGCTCCCTGATGCGCCAAAATTATACACAATATTAGAATGTTTAAAGGAGTGGACACGAAAATCGCGGGAGCGAAACACATGTTGCGGGAGCAGGCGGCAATGGTCAGAGATTCAGCGGTAGTGGGATTATAAAACAGCCGAATCCCGGACATTTTGGGCAATTAAGAAATCCCGGCCGGACACGTTTTTGTAGGTCCAAAAAGAGGACATGTCCTGGTAAAAGAGGATGTATGGTCATCCTAATTTATAATCTATTGCTAATCAATGTATTCTGTTTAAAGTAGCATATGGAACATATTTTCTGCCTCATTCTGTGACAAGAAGCCTCATCAGATCACAAAAGGAAGCATTTGACTGGTGTTGTGGAGTAAAAAGGTTATAATGTTCTCTTTTATTGGACAACAGGTTTAGAAATGTGAATACAAGGGAGGTTTAGCTTTAGGCATTTTAATTTAAGCATGTTTAGCTTAGTTAACAGAAGGCTACCTGCTGCCATCAGAGCAAGTGTAATTACTGCATTCACGCGCTCCTCGGATGCTCTCATTTCCCGAGTTGTGCTTTTAAGTCGGAATGTGAAAACAACATGGACACTCTCGTTACTACAAAGATCGGATTCGGTTCTAGTACATACCGGTTACATGGGTACCGGTGCCATATTGGTACCGGGTTTCGGTACCCAACCCTAGCATTGAACAACTTTTACATGCCATTTGTGGCATATTAAAACCATATGTCATCAGGTCATGGATCCGATTCATGTTTATAAGGCTGTTGTTTAGACTAGGTGTTGCTGACTAGTTGATCATTAATGCTAATATTTTGTGCACTATTATTTAAAAGTTGGAGTCAGAAAATTGTATTTACTAATACTTTTTTTAAGCTACGACACATTAAATTTGATCAAAATTGACCGTGAAGACATTTACAATGTTACAAATCAATTATTTTACAAATAAATGCTGCTCTTTTGATTTTTCTATTAGTCCAAGAATCCTGAGGAAAATGAAACACGATTTCCACCAAAATATTAAGCAGCACAACCGTTTTGAACATTGAAAATAAGAAATGTTTCTTGAGCACCAAATCAGCATATCAGAATGATTTCTGAAGCATCATGTGACATTGAAGACTGGAGTAATGGCTGCTAAAAATTTAACAGCCATTAAAATAATTAAAAATATAAAACAATTATTTAAATTGTATATTCTGTTTAGGGCTGTGCGATTAATCGAAATCATCATAAAATCGCGATTTGAGCATGCGTGATTTCTAAATCGCTTTACAGCACAATTTTACGTGCCCCCGACCTCCCGCAGTATGCTATCCGAACCAATCTGAATGCAGCGCGCCTAAATGGAGCACGAGAACAGAACAGACTGGGCGGGCATACGTAATGAACGTAATGCCAAGTTCAAAATCGCGATTTGAGCATGCGTGATTTCTAAATCGCTTTACAGCACAATTTTACGTGCCCCCGACCTCCCGCAGTATGCTATCCGAACCAATCTGAATGCAGCGCGCCTAAATGGAGCACGAGAACAGAACAGACTGGGCTGGCATACGTAATGAACTGAATTAAAGTGACAGCACATTATTCGCAGTAAAAATGAACATGGATTGACACAGAAATTTAGTAATTACACCATAAATGCATATAAATTAAAGTCTACTGTTTCACAGTCAACACATGGCTTTTTGGCTTGATTTAAAACAAGGAAAAGTGCACTTTTAGATAAACAAGGAAATAATAAATGGCACTCGTGGTGGTAGTTAAACAAAGTTATATTTATTGAGTTTAAACGTGAATGTCTATGAAAGATTGTATTACTGGGTTTTTTTGTCCATATCACACAGCCCTAATTCTGTTGTATAGTATAAATTTATATTTGCTGTATTTTGATCAAATAAATGCAGCCTTGGTGAGCATAAGAGACTTTCAAAAAACTGACCTAAAAGTTAGTGTACAGTAAAATGTTACGGCAAAATAATTTTTTGTGAATTTGTGAAATTAAGTGAATTTGGAGCATGTTTGCATTCACAAATCATGTAATAAAGGAACTGTGTTGATGTCGCAGACATCAGACATCAAAGTTAATTTGAAGTGAAAATACAAGCCAAAATTCTTGCAGACCACTCTGAAACTAATCAAGTGTTGCCCATAACCTGACAGAAACTGTAAGCAATGTAGACTTAATCTAAAAGTGGAGATATGAAGAAATCAGTAGTTAAACAAAGTTATATTTATTGAGTTTAAACGTGAATGTCTATGAAAGATTGTATTACTGGGTTTTTTTGTCCATATCACACAGCCCTAATTCTGTTGTATAGTATAAATTTATATTTGCTGTATTTTGATCAAATAAATGCAGCCTTGGTGAGCATAAGAGACTTTCAAAAAACTGACCTAAAAGTTAGTGTACAGTAAAATGTAATTTTACGGCAAAATTATTTTTTGTGAATTTGTGAAATTAAGTGAATTTGGAGCATGTTTGCATTCACAAATCATGTAATAAAGGAACTGTGCTGATGTCGCAGACATCAGACATCAAAGTTAATTTGAAGTGAAAATACAAGCCAAAATTCTTGCAAACCACTCTGAAACTAATCAAGTGTTGCCCATAACCTGACAGAAACTGTAAGCAATGTAGACTGAATCTAAAAGTGGAGATATGAAGAAATCCCAATAATAAAGTCTTTGTGAATCATGCTGGACTTGTCAAAAGAGTAAGAAAAAAAATTGCTGATGATGTGGAGAATATTATGAGTCACATAAAGTAAACACTGACTAGATTACTTTTCTTCTGTAGTAACAATGAGTTGTGAAAGCCCTAATTTAGAATGTTTTCCCATCTAATCAACTCGGTTCTGTTGTCTAATCTATGAACTGTAATCCAAGGCCATTTGTCATATTATCCTTTAAAAGCGGACTTCTGCTGCTGGATAGACTGGATAGGATTAAAAATGTTGCAGTATGCAATATGCTGGGCTGTCATGTAGCTGGCTAATTGAAGGGTTGAAGCAGAGGACCCAGCTGTTCAGTTACACTCCATCTGTACGGCCATGAAGCTAAACTCTGGCCATGTACTCGAGTAGCAGAGCATGAAACATTATGTCTCTAGTGTCTAGAGGACGTTATGTGTTGAGTGATTGGCATCTGATGAAGGTTTAGATGAAGAATACTGTGAGATACAGCAATAATAGTGGCACAGTGTAGATGAGAGTGTTTCACTTCTCCTGGAAGTGGGACTTCAGCTCTACAGCAGTCTAAATTTCGATTGCGACACTCTGGAGTTGAGTATTTATAAATAATAACTTTTGCTCCTGTTGTGTGTGTGTGTACATTTTATAATAAAGATTTTTTTAAATCATATATCAAAAGTCTTAACATTTTAGTCTAGTTTCATTCAAAGAAAACTTGACATTTTAGCAATAAGATTATTATTAATTAACCGTACAGCAGTATTCATTTTGGCAGCAATTTTTAAGTCTTACTCAAGTCTTAGTCTTACTCAAATGTACAATACTTACTACAATAATGTACAGTATTTGAAAAATAATGTGTTTTTTGAACATTAAAGCATGTCAACATTCTGTTACACCAAATACACAAAATAATGATCTTTAAAAAAGCATCATATGACCCCTTTAAAAGTGCTCTTTCCCTTTAAACCTAGCCAAAAAACCATATGTGCTGACTGTGAAACACAGTAGATTTTAATAATATGCATTTATGGTGCAATTACTAAATTTTCGTGTCAATCCATGTTCATATTTACTGCAAACAATGTGCTGTTACTTTAATTCAGCGCTTGCAGCACAGCAAACATAGACTTGGTGCGGAAACTATCTCTGTACTGCGGCAGACGCACTGCTCCTGGAATGCACTGACGGACCGCAACTGTGTGCAGTGTGCACGCTTTATTAATCCGTTAACATGAACGCAGAAAAAAACGCACCACGTACGCACTGCAAACAGAGTAATTATTAATTTGTTACTTTTTCAAAATCATTGATATATTATTATTAATAACAACAACCACTTGTATTTTTCTCTTATTATTTTCATCAACAATATGGTTTAGTAATTAAAATCATTTAATTATTGTCCGTGCAGAGGCTATTCCGTTTTATTGATCTATGGCGCATTCATTTTGATTCTTTACACGTGTAATGATGTCCAGTGACTTGTTTGCATTATTTATGCATTATTTTATTTATTTGTAAGACTTTTTTATGACTAAATTTGGTAATGGGAGAGTAAAAATATTTTTAAAACGTACACCGTTCAAACTAGGCTGCTTATGTTGAAGTGTTTGGGATGTGGCTTTTAATGATGAGACCTTTTTTGTAATCAGGCTCTCAAAAAGTATATAACAATTTGGATATAGATTTATCGGCCAACATATCGGTTATCGGCTTTCAAAAATAAAGAATAATCGGTTAACGGTTTCGGCCAAAATTTTCATATCGGTGCATCCCTAATTAAAAACAATAATATCACAATATAATAACAATTAAACACACATTGTAGGAACAATAACAGTAGTTACATATATGTGGAAACCTATTAGCAATATGGGCAAATCATGGAAAACGTTCACTGCTGATTGTAACAACTTATTATATTTTCATCCTTATCTTCCTTATGTTGAATCATCTCAGTTATAGTATAACAACATCTAAAATGTTAATCTCTATTATTCTGTACTGACTCCTTGACCTACGCTTCCCTGTTTGGAATTTGTCTCCATATGTATGTGTAAAATTGCCATTTAATGCTGTAATATGTACTTTTAAATGGTTATTTATGTTGATATATTTGTTAAATGTCTGTTTTATTACAATATAAGACAATTCATAACATCTTTGAAAAAATAGAATAGATATACTAGCAGGTTACAGAAATCAGACTTTATGCAATCTGACTCCACTGTTGCATGACGTCCACATACGTGGACAGTTGGTTTTTGGTGAATAAAACTACATTTTACTCCTAAATTTAGTTTATGAAATACTAACATATTCATCATACTTTACTGTATATACTAATATATATATATATATATATACAGTGGGTACGGAAAGTATTCAGACCCCCTTAAATTTTTCACTCTTTGTTATATTGCAGCCATGGGCATTTAGCACATGGCTATCGCTGTCAGCCATCTTGGATTAATGATGTCATCAAGCAATGAATATTTGGAATGCAAGATAATAGCCACTGTTATAATATTGCTGTCAATCTACTGACACTGCCCTCAAGTGGTTTGGAGAAAATTGCTATGATAAATGAACCCTAAATGGAGTTAAATTAACTGTCCACAAATGTGGACACCATGCATGAAAGGGTTAATACCAAAGACTTATGCAATCTCTCTGTCTACATTATGAAAACTGCTAAAACAAATGAAAAATATAACAACTGTGAAATTCCAAGTAATTCCACTATAATTCCAAATTGCAAAAGCCTATTTCTCTTTTAAAACAACAGCGGTCGAGTAAGTGCATTTATACAGCAACCACAATCACAAACAATATAGTCGAGATCTCATGACAGAACACAAACCGGCTGAGACACATTTTCATTTAGATCGCTAAACTCCAGCTTGTTTGTCGGTGTTTTCAGGTCATCGGCGGTGGCGCTTCCGCAATGAGGAGCGAGCGTGTGCGAATGGTTGTCAGATTGCTTAAAATAAGCAAAACACCAGGCAGAAAATGTGTGCTTGTAACAGCGAAGCTCTGATTCGGGGATTTTAACTTTTGATCTTGCAACCGCACTCATGAAAGCTCGCGTAGTAGAGGCGTGTAGAGCAGTCCGCAGTAACATTTTGTCTCCTTTTTTTGACGAAAATAAAGAGGTTTTTGTTAAAAGTTTTTCTTTTTTTTGTCTTGTCTTATTTCATCAATGAAATTGCATGATACA